CATCTCATTTTATTTGAGAAAATGAAGGCAAGCAAACATCTCTACACAATTCAATTTAAATTTCTCTTTGTATTATAAAAACTACATATAATTCATGCTTAATAATGTTAGTAAATGGAAAAAGTAAACAACATAGAAGCTTCTGAAGGATTTTTCCATTTTTATCTGTAGATAGGATATGAATGATAAGATCATATGCAGTAAGATACATGCAGTAAGATAAGAGACTAGGAACAAATCTAAGATACAATTTCAAGCCATGCACTCCAAAGAAAACAATATGATACAATGAAAATGGCAAATCAGGGTGCTAAGAGACTAATTTGGGCAACCAGAATTTATTTGCTATCGTATGATGTTGAAGTTTAATTTAGAAATGTTTCACAAGGGTGTTAATTTACATAGAGTTGGGATTAATAAATTAGAGAAGATTTAGTGATAGGTCGAAGGGACATTCCACATAGAAAAGATAATGTGTTTATGACCCAGATGGGTGGAAAACAAAGGATAAATCTTGAGCAATGAGTTATTAATTTTTGTTCTAGTTTAGAGTGTGGAATGGGATATAATCAGATATGATTGAATGGGATAAGATCAGATCAGAAAAGATTATTGCTATATAGCATCAATAAACAGAAAGTTACAAAGCAGATTATTAGGTGAAAATTCGATTTGAAAATTACCCCTAAATTTTTACAGAACCATGCTGTTTAATATAAAACCACATTGATGGGGCAACTCTGCTATGTGAGAAGACGACAAGAGAAATCATCACAGTTCAAAAGGAAATGGTCTAGAGAAAGCCAAAACAGAAAAGAAGACCACTCTCAGAGGATTACCAATAAGTAGTTCAGATAAAAAATTTATTTAAAACTATTAATAAAAGAGTATTGGATTTAAAAACCAATGAACATTTGGCTTCTCCCTTCTTCACTACTGTCATGTTCTGACCTTCTGATAACTCACCCTTAGCCACTGAGAAATTAGTACATAGTTTATTGTCACTCTTTCCATTCGGATTTCTGGCACCATAATAGAAGAGTCTTTCATCTTCATAGAAAACTCATCCTAATAATTTTGTATATTTATTCCTTGATCTTAGCAGCTTTTGTTTTTATTTTACATTCTACAACTTCCCATTAGGATGTCACATTTTCGGTCTTGCCAATGAAAAGTCATTAAAGTGCTGCAAAAAAAAAAAAAAACCTTATCAATCCAAAATTCTGTATCTATTAAAATAACTCTTCAAAAATAAGGTTGAAATAAGGACATTTTCATAAAAGAACTTGGGTAAAATCTACTCCTGGCAGACCTGCTCTGTAAGTAATATTTAAGGAAGTTCTTCAAGATAATGGAATCTTAAGATACCTAATGGAACCTCAAATTCACAGGAAGAGATAAAAAGCACTGGAAATGTATAATTTGGTTCTAGAGGTTAAGATCTTGTGACAAGCAATTGTTAAAAAAAAATAACATTTTAAAGTAATTTTCTCAGAGTTAGTGGAGTTGCAAAGAGTTCTCTTATGAATAAATATGTAATTAATACAATCGATACATGCAGGTGTTCTATTCAATAAGTACTAATTTTTTAAATAAAATTGAAAAGTAGATGAGCATTTTTTTTCCCAGGCAGACTGGGACAAAGTTGAACAAATTGATTCAGAAATCCAAGAACCTGTGTTACAGAGGATCTGACTGCAGCCTTCTTAATTTTACTGTAGATGATATCCAAAGCTTCCAGAATTCAGGCCCACAGGAAAGAATTCATACAGTATGCAGATGACAAAGACCTAAGACATTTTCTCTTGTGATTTTGGGTAGCAAGATTAACTTGAGTGATTTTAAGAGTCTATGGGAAAAGCCCAGGCCTGGTGCAAGGACAACAGAAACTATCCCTACTTTATAATAAGTGCAAAAAATGTCAAGAATGTTACAATGGCCTTTGAGGAAGCAATTTGGAGAATTCTTGATACAAAGAAAGGACTAGCTACTTATCCCCAGCAGACCGTTAATTTCACTAAAGCCTAAATCTAGCCCCTCCTGTTGTTGACTGTTGGAGAGTGTCAATCTGTTCTAACAAACTCATACACCCAGCATAAATACAAAGATGAATTATATGAAATATATGTGTTGAAATGTACCATCTACTAATGCAATTAAACTAATCAAGATTGCTGCTTCATTAGTGTATAGGAAAAGAAAAATCTTCTCACTGAATTATCTATTTCCTGAATCACAGAAGCGTATACTTATAGATTTTAAAGGGTGTCTAATAACAATATTTCTTCTGTTTAATTATTTAACTAGTTATAATAATAGTGGTGACTAAAACTTGATTGTTATTAAAACAGTAACATCCTAAAAAAACAAAAACAGAAAACCATGGCACATACACATTTAACACAGAAGGGAAGGTTATGTTTGAATTTTGCAAAATGGTGTCTTAGGTTGTTGCTGGGGTGTAAAGGCTCAGTTGCCTACATTTTTAATCCATCTCATCAACTGTTCATTTAGAAAAATTTTAGAATATAAAGCATGGTCCTGCTGGTTAGTAACATGTATATCATACACCATTCAATTTCATCCAGACAATCTGGAGAAAAAACACAGTATATAAAGGTGTTTTTCTCACCTTCATTTCCTCTTTCATTTACTAACTATATCCCAGATGTTGGTATTTAGTCTTGTCCTCCCTTCACTGGGAAATTACTTCATATCTTTGTGACTCATGGGCTATATACACAGATACTATAGGTCATTTCCTACTTAAGTATTACATTTTGGGAGCAGAATAATAAGAGGTTTAAAATAACACACAAGTACCACAATCCAAATATATGAAATTATCTTTGGAAAAGTTCTTTCAAAAAGATATTTTGCATTAAAAAAGTAAAAGCACATTTGCCAGTTAATCAATATTTTTATTAAATATTTACATGTACTATTAAGTATAATACATAGACATTGTATTCAGGAGGAGCAAAGCAAACGAATATGAAATGTTAGTGTACTAATACATATAAATATATAATGAAGTGCTAAGGGAGACAGATTATAAATGCCATAAAAATGCAGAGATGACGGAGACTCTAAGTAGTCAAAATAAGTTTTCATTGCGTCAGAAAGGTTAGCTTAATTGATGCTCGGTCATAAAAAGTGGATTCAATTTGGTCTGGGATTAAAGAGGAAGGGCATAGCCAGGGAGCATCATGAGCAATGATAAGGAAGGAAAGTCTATGTGGAGGGGTAGAAAGAGGAGCTAAGAACAATTGTGAAGACTGTGTCAAAGGCTTAAGTTAGGAAGGCTGGAGAGAAGAATAGATAAATCATCTGTTCTCACACTGCTAATAAAGACATACATACTCGAGACTGGGTAACTTATAAAGGAAAGAGGTTTAATTGACTCACAGTTTCACATGGCTGGGGAGGCCTCACAATCATGGCCAAAGACAGACGAGGAGCAAAGTCACATCTCACATGGTGGCAGGCAAGAGAGCTTGTACAGGAGAGCTCCCCTTTATAAAACCATCAGATCTCATGAGACTTATTCACTATCACAAGAACAGCAAAAGAAAGACCCACCCCAATGATTCAATTACCTCCCACTGAGTCCCTTTCATGACACGTGAGAATTATGGGAGCTACAATTCAAGATGAGATTTAGGTGGGCATACAGCAACACCATATCAATAACTAAGGTCAGATTTTTGAGAAACTAAAAAAATTCATGAAGAAAGCAGGCATGATAGTAAGCCCTGAGTATTTCCAGGGGCTAGAGGATCACAAGAAAGAAATTGTAGGAAGTCTGATCTGATATTTAAATGAATTACCAATAAAAGAAATTAATGACAAAAGGTTTGATCTGGATGCTGTTATAGTAATCCAGATATGGAATTATAAAACTGTGACCTCACATGACAGAAGTGGGAATAAGTGAGTAAATCTGAGACACTTAAAAGTAAGACTTAATACAATCTGGTAGTAGTTATGATAATGGAACATTAATGCAAAAAGGGTCAGAGGAGATTATAAAGCCAGGAAAATAAAAAGATTAATATTGCCACTAATCAAGATATTGACAGGAATAAGAAAGTAACTGCAACATTATTTTTATTTAAGCATAAGGAATTTTTAGTGAACAAAGACTATCCACATAGAGGTATTTTGTGGAAAGTAAAGAATATAAGATTAGAATAGAGGTGAGAAGTCAGGGCCGCTGAAGTTGATTTCAGCATCATTTATTCAGAGCTACTAAATGGATTACACTCCCTAGCTCACTGGTGGCTGACAGTTAATATATGTGTCAGTTCAATGGGCCACAGGATGGATGCCTAGACATTTGGTTAAACATTCTGGGTGTATCTGTGATGGTGTTTCTTAATTAGATAAATATTTAGATCAGTAGATTAATTACAGTAGAATGTCCTCCCTAATGCAGATGGGCCTCATCCATCCAGCTGAAGACCTAAATAGAACAAAATTACTAAGAGGATATTCCACCTGCCTGACTGCTTGAGCTGGAACACTGTACTTCATTCTGCCTTCACATTCAAACTAAAATGTCTTCCCTTCTTTGGTCTTAAGCCTATCAGCTTCCAAATTGGAACTGCACAACAAGCTCTCCTGGGTCTCCAGCTTACCAATTCCAGATCTTGAGACATGTCGGCTTCTACAATTCCATGAGCAAATTGCTGATTACAAATCTATGCATCTACCTAGCTATCTATCTATCATCTATCTATCTATCTATCTATCTATCTATCTATCTATCTACTATTGATTCTGTTTCTCTAAAGAATCCTGATTTATACACATGGTTTCTTTGGTCGATATATTTTATTTTCTCTATCAGACTGCAAATGCGTAGATAACAGAAATTATAAATTCTTTTTTTTTTTTTTTGAGACAGAGTTTCGCTCTTGTTACCCAGGCTGGAGTGCAATGGGGTAATCTCGGCTCATCGCAACCTCTGCCTCCTGGGTTCAGGCAATTCTCCTACCTCAGCCTCCTGAGTAGCTGGGATTACAGGCACGTGCCACCATGCCCAGCTAATTTTTTGTGTTTTTAGTAGAGACGGGGTTTCACCATGTTGACCAGGATGGTCTCGATCTCTTGACCTCGTGATCCATCTGCCTCGGCCTCCCAAAGTGGAAATCATAAATTCTTAATCTTGTCTCTGGCATTGCCTAGCTGCAATAGAAAATGAGAAATTCAGTTTTGGAAGATGAGTCAAAAAAATGTAGACCTGAAGTTGAATAAGTCCTAAGGAATAGATATTAATGGAAATAAAAAGAATATGAAAAAAGTAGATTCTGTGAAAGTAAGTACAATCTAGAAACTTCTATGTATTCATTACTGAAAAATTGAAGAAAATAAGAAATTAATAAAAAGACTAGCTCAGAGAAAAATTGAGTTGAGTGATGTCTGGGGGTTGATTTTTTGTTTTCTTCCACTTATTTTGTCTTTATTATGGAAGCAAGATATTGAAATTTCTGAGACAAAGAATGAAGAGAGAGAACAAGTGAAAAGAAAAATTCAAATACTTACATAGACATTAAAGTGCTGTGAGCATTTACAATTATTCTAGACCTAAATTTCTCACAGGATTATTTGGGCCTGGGATAACAAATAAAATATGAAGAAAAAAACACTAAACTTTGCAGGAAAAAATGTACTAACTTTATAATACAGTCTGTATAAACTTATAAAATTTCTCCTCAGGTCCTTTAAAGAATTGGTCATTATGTTTGACAGAAACTGAAAGATTAATAAGATGAACATCTAAACATTTTCTAACTTACTTCATATTCAGGCTTGGTTCTAAGTCTTCTTTTAAAATAAGAGTAGTTTCTTTCCATCATAATAAATAGAATTGCCCTCATGCTATCTGGTGTTAGCAATATGACAAATCATGATTCTCATTTTATGATATCACATCATTATCTTAATGAAACTGACATAGATGCAAGAAAGAAAAATTACTTAAAAGCTTCTAAAATTCTGGAATGGTAATGGAAAGGTTGAAAACAATAGTAATCATTATCTATTTAAAATTCATGGATTTAGATAAAGATAAAACAAATGTCCACTATTCTCCAAACCAAATATAAATAGTTTTAACTTTGGAAACAAAATATTTTGGAATATGTTTATGTCAATGAAATTTATTATTTCAGATGACTCAAAGTAAAGAATAATAATACCCAAGAAATAAGATTGCCTATTTTTGGTTGCATTTGATATTTTCGTTATGTCATTTTGGCATTAGACTAAGATTGAACCATCATATACTGAACATCTAATAAGTGCTTAGACTATCCTGAAAATAACCCTTTAAGGTAAGTTATTATTCTAAATTTATACTCCAGTGCACTAAGGTTTCAAAAGGTAAATTAACTTGTCAAATATTAAATAAGCTAATAAATTTGAAGCTTAGATTTCAGCCAAGTTCTTTTGACTCCAAATTCAGTCATTTTTCAGATTATATTCTGCTGAACTGGGTATAACTAGAAAACTTTTTAGATGGCTAGGTCTCTTCTGACACCAAAATGAGAGATTGTTTGATATGTTTTAGATAACCATGAGAACCTCTACTGCTAATTAATTCTAAACCATCTATAGAACTCTGCACATTGCTAATCCTAAATCTCCACTATTAGGAAGCTTTATTTTCCAACTGGGTATTTTGCTTGTGGTCACAGACATAGGCAGTAGCCAAGCAATGGCTACTATTGGCTGCCACCAGAAAAACTATAGGTCAAAGGACAATTATTCATTTTATAAATAATTGTTGCTAGCTTTCAAAAATATAAATAAAAATATAAATAAAGTGCTGTGAGCATTTACAATTATTCTAGACCTAAAATTTGTCACAGAATTATTTGGCTAGGGATAACAAATAAAATATGAAGGAAAAACACTTAAATTTTCCAGGGAAAAATGCACTAACTTTATAATACAGTCTACATAAACATAAATTTTCTCCTCAGGTCCTTTAAAGAATTGGTCATTATGTTTGACAGAAACTGAGAGATAAGATAAATATCTAAAAAACAAACACAATGGCCAGACCACCAAATGTACCACGAAAAAGTTCACTAGCAAGTGATCAATATAATCAAGCTTACTGCAGGCATTTAGATATGTCAAATTAATTTATGATTTGTTTTTCTGTAGATTCTATTAAAAAAATCAAATTGACTTTTAAACAAAGGCAATCAGTGACTATAGGAATATATGACTTAGGAAAATAAATGATTGACCAATAAATGTTTTCTTTTCCTTTTCTTTTCTTTTCTTTCTTTTTTTTTTTTTTTTTTGACAGAGTGCAGCGGTGCGATCTTGACTCACTGCAACCTCTGCCTCCTGGCTTCAAGTGATCCTCCTGCCTCAACCTCTCAAGTAGCTGGGACTACAGGTGGGCACCACCACACCCAGCTAATTCATGTTTTTAGTAGAGGTAGGGTTTCACCATGTTGGCCAGATGGTCTTGATCTCTTGACCTCATGATCTGCCCACCTCAGACTCCCAGGGTGCTGGGATTACAGGTGTGTGCCACTGTGCTTGACCAATGTCTCCATTTTTTAAAAACCACTTTCACACCTGAGTGTCCAAATAATTGGGACAAGGAAAATAAAGCTACTGAAATATGGAAAGAAGACTAACACTAACTTTTAAACTGATGTTCTATTAATGTAGACCCATACATCATATTACTTCTACATTGTTTAAGCATTAAAGTTGACACTGTAACTGGCTCTTTAAACCTTTCCCTCCATTCCTTTTCCTCTCTTTTTTCCTTCAATTGATGTGATTTATTTTAATACTGACTCCTGACACTGCATTCTGAAATATCTTGGGAGAAAGGCATCATTCTTTGTATTCCAAAGTCAATTAAGCAACATGAGGAATTTGTATCCATCTAAAAAATATTTTCCTCAATATTTCCTCAGAATTTAAAATGAATATCACTTTTTCCAATAGGAAGAAACTTGTATTTCATGAATTTGATGATAAAGCAGGAATATGATGCAATATATTTAATTCTGAAATATTTGCATAATAGAAGTAAGATGTAGTATAACTACTCCAAATAGTGACTAAAACAAAAATAATGTACATTCAGCTTGGCATTTGTTTTTTGTATTTTTTTAATGTAAAAGGTTTATTTTCTTCTTGTTTATGCAAGTAATTAAAATTAATGTTTTTGGATGTGTCCAAAAAAGAATTGAGATTTCCTCTCCCCCCTCCACCCCAACACACACAAAAGTCCATCTAGCAAGTAACTTCTTGTACATAAGTTGAATGTGGAAATTTAATGGAATGGTGGTTGCAGATGCTCTCAAAGAGCAAGTCCTGACATTAGGAAAAACATTCTGAGAAAACCAAAAAGAAGCTATAACATGTAAAGTATAGGTAACAAGGGTTTAGAATTTCAGGAGACTACATGAAATCTCAAGAAACAAGAAAAATAGGAGACTCATGAGAAAAGGAATGAATTGCTTAATATTTTTAAAACCTAGCTTTCTCAAATTCTGAGCAGTACTGAAAATACACAAAATATTCATGAAGGGAGACGCATGATTCATCCTTTTAATTCATTTACTTATCTCAAATGGATCCACAATATACATGGGAAACTGCAGATTTCAAGAGTTAGAACCAGAATTTATCAACCCACAGATATCTGATGACATGATGGGAAAGCTCTCTTGGATCTTGGATTAGTCTCTGTGTGAGCCTTTCAATGCTGCTCAGAACCAGGAAATTACACTAGGTTTCTTTTTTGTTACTAAAATTTGGCTTTTAGTCAGAGTTAAGGGCAATGTTAGGTGTAAATCATAAGAGTATTTGGTCCAACTAAAATATTATTTTTGAACTGTGTCTTAGAGTAGACCCTCATATGTATCAGCTGTTCCCAGGCAGAGCAGTTAAAAAAAAAATCTGTTCAAAAAAACACTGTTTACTTAATCCTATCTCCTAATATTGTGCTTTAAAATGATTGTGACAATACTGGGAAAAAGATCGGGCTTTTCTGTTTTGCATTCATAGAAAGAAAATTTTATTTAAATAATAAAGCAAAGGAATACAGGACTTAAAACAGTTTTTTCATATCTTAGTTTCTACAAGTTGTGACCTTTTAGTTTTAGTTAAGAGGAAATCTCCGTTACACTCTTCCCATTATCTAAAAGCTTCCTAAGACTCTGTCTTCTTTTCTCCCCTTTCCTTCACTGCCAGCCCCTACCTTGTTTCCTTTACTTTTGCCCAGCCATGCTACTTTGGTAGGTAGGATCTTTTCAGTTCTAGCTATGGACCCAGATGCATTCCAGACTGGGACATTAAGTACATCAGAAGTCCCATATTCTATATCTAATGAGTCTTGAAATTAGATCTTGTGGCCCATATCAACTCTATTCTTGAGCCTCGGGATTCTGGATGATTTCTCTGCAACCCACTTATGACCTAGGGCACAATTGCTACCTCATGCTCTTGTCTGACAAGCTCATTCTCCTGAAAGGATTGTCATAGGTGTTTGAACCAGAGCAATTCCATCTTGAATAGGGGCTGGGTAAAATAAGGCTGAGACCTACTGGGCTGCGTTACCAGGAGGTTAGGCGTTCTTAGTCACAGGATGAGACAGGAGGTTGTATTTTCACAAAGACCTCAATGATAAAACAGATTGCGGTAAAGAAACTGGCCAAAACCTACCAAAACGAAGATGGTGACAAAAGTGACCTCTGGTCATCCTCACTGGTCATTATATGCTAATTATAATGCATTTTGTATGCTAAAAGACATGGCCACCAGCACCATGACAGTTTACAAATGCCAGGGCGATGTCCAGAAGTTCCTTATATGGTCTAAAAAGGAGAGAAGCCCTAATTTCTGGGAATTGTCCAGCCCTTTCCAAGTAAACTCATGAATAATTCATCTTTTGTTTAGCATATAATGAAAAAATAACTATAACTATACTCAGTTGAGTAGCCCATGCTACTGTTCTGCCTGTAGGGTAGCCAATCTTTCATTCCTTTTTTTTTTTTTTTGAGACAGAGTCTTGCTCTGTCATCTAGGCTGGAGTGCAGTGGCATGATCTTAGCTCACTGCAACCTCTGACTCCTAGTTCAAGCGATTCTCCTGCCTTAGCCTCCCGACTAGCTGGAAATACAGGCGCATGCCACCACATCTACTAA